ATTTTCATTGGGTCAAGAGAATGTATAAATAAATGTGTTTATTTATATATAAGTTAGACCGTATGTTTGTAATTAAGTACATTGAACTTACTTGTTTTTGACTTCCAAGTCTGCCTCACCCTATAAAAGTAATTTCATGCATATATTTAGTACTTCACAGTCCACAAAGCATGTTAATTTTCCATGTCAATTCTCTCCCCTCCCACACTTCAGTTTTCTTGTTTCTTTCTCTTCCTTTTCTTATAAAATAGCAAATGATTCCTTCTTGGTGAGCTTCTACCTCTACAGCAGGGTGGAAAGATTATCTTGATCACTGGCAATCACTCAGTTCCCTTTTTCCTCATTATGCAGCCTTAGGGTGACATAGATATTTGCAAGGAAAAAAAATAGTAAGTGGAAAATAAGCATTCGTTATAAGATGACATTATCTGTAAGATAGGCTTGTTTATGGCAAGGACAGCATTTGATATAGTATTTTTACAGTCATTTATATTTAAAAAATAAATTATTGAATTTAGGAGTAGAACAAATACATTATTTGTTGAGAAACTGTGAAGTGACAATAAACTGTGTGTAGATTTCTGACATGAGGACAAGAAAGAGCACTTGTAATAGCTTTCGAATTTGTCTTTTTTTAAAAAAACACACAAAAAACCCTCTTTTCTTCTCAATTCCAGCTGTCATAATGTCATTGTCAAGGTATTTATAAAATACAGATTTGATTAAAAAATATGAGGGCTCTGATTAAGAACCTTTGATAGATCACTATTATCTATTAAAGCAAGTCTGAATTATTTAGACTGATGCACAAATTCTTTGAAAATATGGTCCATCTGACCTTTCCAAGTCCCTCTGTATCCTCTTCACCAAGGAGTCTATATGTTCCAGTCATGCAAAGTGACGAGGTAATAAACAATCCCTGAACGTGCCAGATGCTACCCCTCCTCTGTGACTTTTCCTGTGCCTGCTGACAAAGAAGGCCTTGTGGCCACCTCTTCACTTGTTAAGCTCCTACTCATCCTTCATGTCCAGCTCAAATGCTCCTCCGCTGTGAAGACCTCTCTAAGCAGGATTAATTGCTCCCTCCCCTCTGTACCCTTGAGCCTTTGGCTCAGATAAATATAAAATGTACTTGGATTTATTGTGTACAGTTCCTTCTTGTATGGCCCATGAAATCCTTGAAAGGCAAGACCATACTGTATTTACTTACTCTTGTCATCTCAGTGCCTAAAATCGAAACGAATGTTCATTTTATCAATGAATGAACCATTCATTTACAGAATGACCATTCTGTAATGCTGCAAAAAAGAACTGCTCCTACCGCTATTATTGAAGCCCTTGAAAGGTTGCTGCTCTCTCTGAGTCACAGAAGGGACTCTGAGGGATCACTCATGTAATCGCTTCCTGATCTCCCCATTTCAGGGCTGTTCAATTCCCAGGGAATTGTTCCAACCTACCTACTTCTTTGTAATACTTAGTGTTTGGTATTAGATAACAATTACTAAATTACTCATCAGCTTTCTTGTGGGAAACCCTTTAAGTGTTCTATCAATTTTTTTTTTTTCAGTTCTCTTTGCCCTTACCAATTGATCAGCAATTAGTGACCATAAATGGGCAACCCCATTTTGGCACATGGTACTAAATTCAGCACCCCCCCACCTTGGTCTTGGAGATCTGGAAGCCTGAAAGAAATACAGGAGGAGGGCAAATAAAGATGTATGAATAGAGAAAGGCTAAGTGCCTACAGCACCATTAGAAGAGAAGAGTCATGGACAGGTTGTCAGCTCACAGTTCTAAGGAAAACAAAATATACAAAAACAAATCAAGAAGATGCCCACAGGGAACGTGGTGTAGTACAATGGCTCTCACTTGTTTTTTTTTTTTTTTTAGGAATAGAGAAATTACTCCTAAATTTGTTGTAGAGGTAGCCAGTTGTCTAATGAAATACTCATCTTTAGTAACAGAACCCTGAACTCACTTGGGGTAGCAGCCTGTCCAGCTCATGTGGCAGGGTGAAGACTGTAACCAAGTACTGGCAATGAGATGGAAGTGGACATGACATGTGGGCCTTCCATAAGTCTATTTCACAGTGAAAAGGTACATTCTTTTTCTTTAAAAAATATGTTTTTATTGATATTTTAGAGAGAAGTGAAGAAGAGGGAGAGAGAGATAGAAACATTGATGAGAGAGACACAGTGATCAGCTGCCCCTTACTGGGGATCAAACCTGCAACTCGGGCATGTGCCCTGAGCAGGAATTGATCCGGTGACCTGTTGGTGCATGGGAAGATACTCCGTCTACTAGGCCACACTGGTTGGGCAGTACATTATTTTTTAGTATTTTCTCCTTCCTGTTGTGTAGAATGCAGATGTAATGACTAATTTCCAGCAGCCATTTTGGACCAAGAGGAAGCACACTAAGAAATGGTAGAACAAGACAGAAAAAGCCAAGATCCCTGGCAAAAAGATCCTTCACACCTGCCAAGCCGTAGTCATGGAACCCACCAGGATTGCCTATTTCTAGACTTCTGACATGAGAGAAATCAACTTCTATCTTAAGCCACAGTTATTGTGATTTTTCTGAATTGACTCCTAATTGATAAACTGCTCTTGTCCTCAGAGAGCTTAAGATCCAGAAAAAGAATATTAAGCACAGTGTAAATATCTAATAGAAATATAAGTACACTTAGTTCTGTGTAATTATTGATTTCATGAACACTTGAACAGCAATAAAATAATACTGTAGATTTACCAGAAAAACTAACCAGTTAAAAGCAAAATTATAAAATGTTTAGGAGAACATGGAAACATGAAGTAAGGGGAGAAAGAATGCATGAGGTTACTAATATTGATTATCAATATTTGCATTTTTACTTCTTATAATGACCACGTAATAACTCTTTACATTTAAAAAATTAAAATAGAAAACATTTTAAATTAAAAGCAATAACATAAGTATTTCTATAATGGAAAACTTGTATTGATTTATCGATATTGCTTTTTTAAAGAGGACAGTTTACAATTCTGTTTATAGGCCCTTGGAGACCTGGTTCTCATCTCTGATCCACTAACTAGTAGAATCTTGGGGAAATCATACATATTGGACCTTAGTAAAATGAGAATGTTAGTAAATAAACTTTAAGGTTTCTTCCAGCATTTACATTCTATGCATTTAATTGTACATTTATTTTGGTGGATTTCATACTGTACTTCTCCAGTCTGATTTCTATGAATTCAGTAGTTGCAAAAGTGAGTTAGCTATGTAGCTTTTATGTGTCTATTTCTTTTTTTTTTAGAGTTTTAAAACTGATTTTTAGAGAGAGTGAGAGAAACATCTATGTGAGGGTGAAACATCAATTGGCTGCCTCCTGCATGCCCCCTACCGGGGATTGAGCCCAACCCCAGCATGTGTCCTGACTGGAAATCAAACTGTCAACTTTGTGTTGCACAGGATGACACCGAACCAACGGAGCCACACTGGCCAGGGCATAATGTGTCTATTTCTGATGCCATGAAAGAATAAGACAGGTAACTTCAAATACCACATGTTTCCTGTGTTTTCATAATGGCTTTCCAGGCACATAAACGTGGTATTTCTTAAGGTACTATACTTTTTTGGTTTCCATGCCTGTCCCCCTATAGAATGTGAGCCCCTCAGGTGGGGCTGGGACCTGGAAATGAGTCTCCCCAGTCAGTGCCAAGCACTGGCCTGAGTATACAACAGGGGATTTTGTTGAAGAGATGAGTGAGTCAAGGAAAACTTGTGTGAAAAGACGATGATCCTAAAAGATAACGAATCTTGTGACTGATAATTTTTCATCTTGTCTCTTTTCCAGATTAGGTTTTTAATTTGCTTGTGAAATATTCATTAGTCACAAAATCTTTAGAAGTTTTTGATAATTTTTGCAAGCTTTAGGTTGTTGCCAGATGAATTTAGCCATCAAGAAAAAAAGACTGTGTATCATGCTTGTGCGGATTAACAACTATTGCTCTGTCTCTGGACTGTGGACTGTACATGGGGTGCCTCAGGCCATCCTGGGAGACTGGGAAGGAGGGTGTGAGGACTGTTGTACTGTTTATTTCAAGAGACTGGGAGCTCTGGTTGGGAAATCCTATCTGAAGCCCTTCTGTTAATTGAAAGGGTCGGTAATGTTTTAAAGGGTAAAGGTAAAAGCTTGCAAAAGGTGGAAACTGTGGAAATTGAGTTCCTTGCATGAACTTTGCTCAGCCTTCTGTTGAGAATGGATGAGGATTATCTGGATTATCTGCAAGGCAATGAATCACCCAGCAGATGACAGACGAGATACCAGACCAGTCCAACTGCAAAGTGGACAATGGGCCAGGCAGGGTACATCGGCAGGAACTGTAGGAAGCTAAAAGTAGAGTATATAACCTACACCCCAACTGCTATTCGAGGCTGACCCCTTTTCGGCTCAGCTCGCCTGCACCCAGGCACATGCAATAAAACCGGTTTGCTCTACAGTGGCCTTATGTTGTGGATGTGATCTCCGCCGGCTCAGACCTTTTATCAATGAGGCTAGGGCATTGCGAACTAGGGATTACCCCCTTCCTGCTGCTGTCCTGCATACCATCTGAATGAATGACAAGCTCTCTCCTTCCAAGTAAAAGCAAAAAAGGAAGTGCTAAAAGGCTCATGGCTTTAACTCCAAACACAAACAGAGCTGTTTCCCTGCCTTCTTTCTGGTGATGATCTTGCTACTCCCGAGTGAGTCCAAGGCAGATTCAGGGTACCCAGTCCTCCCTCCCCGGGCCCCCCACCCCTGCTGTTCTAACAGGAGTGCCCTGAAACCAACCTCATAGAGCCCCTCACAAAGAGCAGGAGGTGGTCTGAGGATGATTGGTACATGCCTTCCTTGTGAGAAACTCACGTCAAATTGTAAACATTGCAAATACGAATATTAGGAGTTAAAAATAAGAACATTAAGTAAAAATATGCTATAAATAACAATGAAAGTAGAATGTCAGTACTAAGGAGCCTACCGCAGTACCCTGGCGTTCCACACACTGTCTTCATGAGCACTTGATGTTCCACAATTTTGGAGAGTCCAAAATCAGCTAGCGACACAAGAAGAAAATGAAAAAAGCAAGTTTTGTCTCAGCTTTTATACAATGACAGAATACCTCCGTTCTTCAAAAGAAAAGTAACTTTTTTATGTGTTGGTTTGTTTTTGGATTGGATGATGGGTGGATGTAGATGGAGACCAGTCACCAGGGAGAGAAAACTAAAAACAACACCAATAATAATCTAAGTCTTGCTTTAAATTAGAGAAAAATATGACTCCTAAATACTTTTTTATACTTTTCTCTATAATCCCTAGCTTTTAGGAAATAAGCAATTTCTTCTTGAAGTAATAGATGCAAGAGATATATTTTGTTAAATATTAATTCTGAGATTTATGAAACTAACTCTAAAGGACACTATGGAGTTAGCAATATAATCCAGAGCTTTTACTCCATCGGAACAAATCAAAATAAAACATTAGACTCCCATATATGTTGAAGAAATTAACAGAAGCATCACAAGGTTTATTCTCCTTCAAAATAGTGCCATTCCTAGTGTATTTGACGAATAAGAATTTACTCTCTTATGAGGAATATGACTTTCTTTTTTTTTCTTGGCAAAAGTCTTTTTTATTTATTCCTCAGAATATTACCTAGATAAAACATGATCAAAAGTGGTATCCGTATGGTCTCCTTGCTGGACTACATCTGTCTCACCCAGGAAACACCAGGAACCCTTTTAAGGACATTTTTCAAGAGAGGCAGGTTCAAAATTGCCATTTTAGACTTCAAAGATAAACCCGTTTTTCCACAGAGGTGCCGACCCTTATCAGAGGAAGCAGCAGGAAGTCCTTCAGAAAGAAGGCGCCCCTGCCTAAATTAGTATCTCTCCATCCATTTAAAGAAAAGTCTTTAAGGGTAAAATCTTTGAAAGTGGTGTCAAAGGAGATGGGAGCCCCCCTGCCGTCCACCGCCTTTCAGGGGTGATTATGAGAACAGGCTGCAGCAGCAGGACTCGGCTCTTTCCTCCAGGCTCCTGCGTCACCCAGCCCACGGTGTTGTCTGAGCGCTTCTGTGAGATGCATAACTTCACTTTCAAAGGCGTTAACACGAATGCCGTGAACTCATCAGATTAGCATTAGAAAGAATAGCACTGGGAGTAATGTCCTTCAGAGGACTTCATTTAGAAAACTTTAAACCCCTTCCAGGCAAGGCGGAACAGATTCTGCTAAGGAGAGCCCGTCTAAAATAAATTTCACTCTTTTTATTGGCAAATGAAGATTTGCTTCCGAAGGCACATGCAAAGTAATGCTTAATATACTTTTGTCTAAAATGCTGATTGAAAAACCTCTTCGCGTAGATCAGGATTTCCCAAAGTTCATCTTTGTTGTTCTTCAAAGTGCATATTCGGGGAACACAAGGTTTCCAGGGTCAAATAAGGTCTGGGGAAAGCCTTTTTCAGGTTTGGGGGACGTTTTGAAGAAATAATCTTGTTTAAATTGGCATTTCTAACTTATTTGACCAACCTCAGCACCTCTGCAAACCACTTCCACTTCCCCAAAAGGGAATGGTGCACCCTTGTCCCGTCAGCCGGGAGCCAGCGCTCTGTGGCTGCACTTTGGGAAGCGCAGACCTACCCTTACCTCTGTTCACATGAACAAGAGACTCAGAGCCTACATTCACTGACCGGCACCAAACATTTTGCGGCAAAGTTCTTGATTATCTAAAATTAAGCTCCATCTAATTTGTGGAATAAAAGTTAATAACCAAGAAAGAAGTGTTATGTTATGTGTGATTTCTTCTACATAAACATATCTACAAGATACAAGGTCACCCCCTTGTGCCTGTTATTTCCAAGAGCTGTGATTCCATCTGAGTCCAGCAATGCAGCGCTAACTTTAGGCACGATTCCAGATTCATGTTCCAGGACGGCACACAGGCTTCCGACACTGTGCATTATTCCTTCACGGACAGCAAGGATTCGAGGAAATTGAATGGAGCCGTATTCTAAAATTCCACAGAATAAATGTCTCCTGCTCTGGGAAAAGGGGTCATGAAACATCAGGACACGTCCTCACCAATTTTGAGTGGTGCGTCTGGGGCTGGAGTTGCATAGAGAAGGTTCTCTGGTTTGAGATCACGATGGACAATCCCGTTTTCATGGAGGTACTAAATGGGGAATATAATGAAGGAACAGTCATGTCATTATAGTCATGGTTCCAACATTCATATTTACTATTTTCAGAACTGTAATAATCTTTACTAAGATATATGATTCAACAACACACATAGTATACTTTAAAATAAACACTATAAAAAAAAAAACATTTTAAAACTATGCACATTCTAAAATAGCTTAAATCTAGTTACCTAAAAGTAAAATACAATTTAAATGATATAGAATCGATTGCCAGAAATAAAATATTTACCCCTCTGAGAACATTATTTGCAGTTCCCTTTATGCATATCAGTTCAAAGTGGCTAATTATTATTATAATAAAGTCAAAGTGTTGTGTCTTGAAATTTGTCTGGTTTATCATCTGAGACGCGTAATTGTATGTGCCATCTTATGAATTTACAACCATGGCAAAGACTTCAAATTACTGTTTGCACAGACATTTAAATGTGAGTAGTTATTACAGAGAACACATCTGATTCAATCCAGGACCCTGTGTAGATCTCTCTCCTCACTCCCTCAGGTACCCAGCCACAACCCTGCCCCACTCCCATCCCTACCTAGTGCCCTTGGGCCACACCTATTTTCCCTCTTAATTATTCTGATGACTAGCTTAATTGCCAGCTCCCTTCAGCCCATGCCCCACACTGTCACGAGAGTCATTTTTTTAAAGTGCAGAGCTAGTCACTCCCTGGTTTCCCTGGCTCTGGACGGAGCAGCAGCAATGAAGAATTTGATTTTGCATCTCCAGCCTGGGTCACAGACCTCCAGGGGTAGGAAGGTACGGTAAAGAATGAAGGAAGCTGGAAGAGTGTGAAATAAGAGGGAGACCTTGGGAAGCCCTAGGGACTGCAGCTGTCCCTGGAGGGAGCATGAGCCTGAAGAGGCCAAGGTGACTCGGGGTCAGCCAGTTGTCAGGCAGGACTGCAGGCCCCGTGTTGCTGGCTCTTCTGAGTTTTCAAGGCAAGGTAGACATTCGTATTTTTTTTTTAGTGTAAGATATTACAAAATTTAAAGGTTGGCAATGAAGTTTGAAACCCGGTATTGGCCAGACAAAATACTCTGCAGTCTCTAATTCTTGCTTTGGAACTTAAAATAGTCCTTGGCGCTCAGTAGATGCTCAAGAGAAAATTGTTAAGTACATGAATACATTTTCTCTCCTGACTCTGCTTCTTACATCAAATCTTTGTTGAGACTCTGCTGCTGGGCTTCTGTTTTGCTGTAAACTCTGCTCTACTGTTTGTCTACCCCCCTCCCTTCTGCTACTTTTAATAGCCCCCCAAAAAGTATTTGTGAATAAAATAAAACTTTTGTGGTGGAATTGTCGTTAATTTTAGTCTTTTTCTTATATAAAATTGAGCTATAAAAATTATGTATTACTTGGGTGATACATTTAAAGAAATAAATTTTATATAACTGGCTGGCATTTCATGTTTGCTTATCCTGAATACCACCCATCTGCTGCAAATGATGTGCTCTGAATATGAATAAATACATTCGGTTGGTAACTATGTCTGGTCCCAAATTAACTAAACAGACGATGTAATTACATTGCTACCAGTTTAAGAACGTAAAGACCATTCCATGCTAGCATCCTAGAAAAGCGCTCCAGTTCACCCTGTTCCTAAGCTCCAGCCCGATTCCTCCCGCTGTCTGTGTCCAGCTCCCAGCTGGCTGCTTCACGGCACCTTCAGTCCCACGTGTCCAACCGAACTCCCTGCCCGGACCTTCCTGCTCTTCCCACCTCCAAGTGTGGCCTCTCAGTCAACTCAAGTGTTCAGGCCAGAAACTGATTCTCTCCCCCTCCCTGCTGCCTCCATCCAATGCACAACAGAGTGCGGTACATTCTGATTCCAAAACGACTCCTGAATCACCCTGCCTCTCTTCATGACATTGTCGTGATCTCAGCTGGATCCCACAACAGCCCCTTAACTACTTCTTTGATGTCCAGGGTGCCCCCTCCCATCAGCTCTCCTTGGAGCAGCACAGGGAATTGGGCCATTTCTCCTCCTTGGGAAAGTCTTCAGTGGTTTCCCGTTACCTTGTTCGGGCTTTCATGGCCTTGGCCATCCAACTCCCGCCTCTCCCTCCAATCTCATATTCTGCCGCTTCCCCTCCACTGCTCCGTTCTGCCCACGTGGACTTCCTTCCAGTTCCTCAAGAGCCTTGATCTCTTTCCCACCTCAGCACCCTTGTCCCGCTGCCTCTCTTATTGGACTGCTTCTTTACCCTTTCCACCTGGCCAGCCCTCCTCCTCCTCAGGACACAGTCATCACATCAGTTTCTCAGGAGGCTGTACCTGTCCTTTCAGTCTTCTGTGCTTTCATAGATTTCTCTTATTTTTCTTTACAGCATGCCTGTTTCTTCGGAAGTTTACGATCCGGATGTCTCCCTCGCTAGACTGAAAACTCTGAGAAGACATGGGTGTTTTTATCTGCTTTCCCAGATTCCTAGCACCTGGCACGGGGTATGCACCCAATAAATACTATTAAATGATAAATACATATCTCCATTTTCCTATTGAGAAATTGTAATTCCTATTGATAGAATTTGCGTTTTTTATTCATTTGCCAGTATTAATTTGTAATAGAAGTTAAATTTTTTGTGCCTACATGGCAGCAGTAAGTTCCAAAGCAACATCCCTTCGATACATTCAGCTGTAATAAGGCTCAGCATCAGTGTACTTATGAAGCATACTATACTTTATTGTTTAATAAACTTAATCACCTCAAAGATGCTCACTAAGTAGCAGTTAGATGAATTCGATTTATAGCATCATTTTGAGAAAAGCCCAAACCCAATAAGAACATTTTAACTGAAGATAAGGCAAAAGGGTTTCATCTTCGAAATGACCTTTTGAATAATTACATGATCACGTTTTGTTCTTCTGTAGTAGCATTAAGTTGATAGTTATGGCTGGCTGGACTAATTTCTTCACATCCTTTGAAGTTGATCTGAATATCCAATACAGAATATGCCTCAAGGGACTTTGGGTAATGACAGTTGAAAATGCATCTGTTAGTTTTCCCTTTGGTTTCCTTCGTGTTTTGCCAGTGTAATATAATGGAACTGATCAGCGATTCGGCCAGCTATAATAACACATTAATGAACAGTGGGCAAGCCAAAAGGCCTCTGTTAGTAAATGAGGGCACCCTGCTGGACTCCAGGGGTGAGCTTGAAGGTGACCGGGCCTGCTGCTGTCCCTGCAGAAAGGTTCGCAGGTGGGCATGGTTGCTTTAGGTTTGGAGTGCCTGGATAAAGCAAAGCTTTGCAAAAAATTCTGTTGGAATAGCAATTATCATGGGGAAAGTGAGGAGGATGCTAACAGAGAAGGTGACTGTAAATGCCATTGGATGGGGTAACCTAGGGGTCACGATAGAGTAGCTGTTGGGGGAGAGGTCATGAAGAACAGAGAGACTCCAGTTCTAGTTTCTGATTTTGATAGGAGGCTCCTGATATACAATGTCAGAATAGGAGAATATGGAGGGTTTCAGCAGGTTAGAAATTCATTTTCCTGTCAATTTATATTTATGCATGCCATAATACTCTGTTAAGTACAGTTTCCCAGAATGGTCTATATAGCACTGGTGGAAATGTCTTTTATCTGTATGTACTATTTTCCTTAGATTCAACTCAAAACCTAAAACATTCATTCAACTAAGACTTCAGTGAAACACTTACTGCTTTCAATAGCAATTATTAAGTGAATGGTAATCATTTTAAATTAGGCATTATGCAAAAAAATTAATGGAGAAAAGCAATGTGCCTTGATTTAGGCAGATAAGTCTCATGCTAACACAAAAATATAAAGAAAACTGAAGTAACGTACATGTAATCAACAAAAGAATCAGTACATAAATGTATCTGTGTATAACTGCATGTCCTGAGGCAACTGCCCAGGGGCATGTGGAGAATGTTTAGAGAGGATAAGCATGTGATAATTTCATTCTCTTTAACCAATGCATGTGTCTAGATTTGAGCAAAGATGAGATTTTAGGGCTGGAGGCTATGACATGTTTTCACCAATTAAATGGAGGCAGTAACCAGGAGATAATGCATAGCTTGAAATAAGGTCCAAAAATAATCTGCAGTTACAGAGAAAGAAGAAGCGAACATTTTTATAATGATAAAGAAGAAATCAGGTTGGAGCACAAGAAAATAAAAGGTAGCTCCTGAATCTGCATGCTCTGGTCTAGCAGACTCCATAGTCAACAGAGAGGGTGACCTCTGTTCTGTCTGGAGAAGCCGATTGGGCAGGACTGAGGATGCATGTAGAAAGCACTTTATCCTCAAAGAGACACGGAGAGATGACTGTGCTTCAGATTCCCATCCCCGCTTTATACATTGATAAGTTAAGAATGGATATTTGGGATGTATTAGAGAAAGTTTTTGGATACAAGTGAAAAGTATATCAAATATGACATAGCGAAAATCTGTACATTTTTCTTGGAAAACATTTATATCCACAGATGTATAAATGGGTCTTAAAAATGTATTAAAATAGAACGTGGGACTTAAAAAACCCGACCCAAACATAGTTTACCATTTGGTCTTTCAAAAGTATGCAATCACCCAACACTCAAACTCTCTTTTAAGCAGACAAAGATAATACTGATGCTCTGAATTCAGGGGTGTCTAGACATATAATTAAACTCTCTCTATGGTCCTAACAAAAACTGCGTCATTGTGTAATGAAAGCTACTGCATAGTAATTTAGTTTAATTACAGCTATACTGTGTTCGATGGGCTGTGTGTAGTTAATTGATCATGTTTCAGGAGTTAGTAGGGGGAAATTTGAATCTCCTTAAAAATCTAACAGGACAAAGAAGAACCTGTCATTAAAAAAAAGAAAACAGTGTTCTGACTGCAGTTCTCCTATTGGGAAGAAAAATTAAACTTCATTGAATTAGCTCTTCTCTACTCAGAAAATTTAGAACCAATACGCATCCATTTAAATAAGAACGTCAGAGTGAACATTCTACTTTTGGGTTGT